CCGCTGTAATGGTCACTGCTCTCAGAAAGGCTCGTCTCTCCTCTGACCACCTCCCATTCCTCCCCCACTTGTCTTTTTTCTACACACATTCTGGAGGAGAGCAAACAGGGTTTGTATTGTCTGAGCACAGAGACACACACATCACTCTTCTTCATGTAAACACCCCAGACCAGCGGCTCCAAGTCTCAAACCTCTGTTTCCAACAATACAGCGTTTATTAGCCTTCTCACTGTGGGCCTGCACTGCATCACTCCAGCTGCTCAAGAGACGGATATTTCTGACATTTGAGGGCCCAAAGAGCCTCTTCTGTACTGACACACTGGCATTATGAAGCATGGATAGTTTGTCACTGTTCATAAAACACATAATATGGAGGGAGGGTGAGGAGGAGAGAGAGAGAACTTGAATAGAAGTAATGTTTGTTTAATTTAAATCTTTATAAATGTTAACCTTTTGGGGGAATAACCCTTATTTTAATGATAACCATTATTAATTTCAATGGCTGATGTTTAAAGAGAAACTGAGCACATTACCTGCATTTGAGCCTGAAGTGTCTAGATCAGGGGTCACCAACCCTGTTCCTGGAGAGCTACCTTCCTGCAGATTTAAGTTGTAACCCTGACCAAACAAACTTGTTTGTAATTATCAAGCTTCTTAATAAATATCGCTGCTTTAGGTACTATTAATTGGTTCAGGTGTGTTTGATCAGAGTTGGGACTGAATTCTACAGGAAGGGAGCTCTCCAGGAACAGGGTCGGTGACCCCTGATCTAGATTATAATGAATAAAACGGTTTATGAAATGCATTAAGGGCACAAATAAAGGGCAGTGATGACAGTCTAAGTCTTCTATGAAGTGTGTCTGCTGACAGCTAATGCAGACACACCTAAACACAACTGGGTAAACAGAAAGCAAAGCGTTTCTAAAAGTATTTTTTCCTGAACTTGAAAGTAAAAAAGGACTAACAGAACTGCAGGGCTACACGCAATATTAAACTAGCGTGCACACACTCAGATTAGAGAAAGCTGAGAATTCAAGCTACTTACCTTTGCAAGACTGAAAGACATGAAAGCAGTGTCCAATTTTACTTTCCATACACCCAGTTGTGTTGGGATTGTGTGTGCAGACTGATAGCGGACACACTTCATGGCGGGGGAACTGGAATTCCAGAACAGAATCGACTGTTACACTGGACCACGGGCAGGCAGAAACACAACCATAACACAGGCTATGGTCAGAGCTGGTCGCATACAACCACAACGAAACCACAGACCAGATCCACACAGCCAGCAGACAGTCATAAAAGGTGTAAACAGTCCAATCTGCAACGGAGAATCAAAGTGGATAGAAACATTTAGAATTAAGAGTAGAGCAAAACAAGTGTTTGCAAAAGTATGAGTGCTGAGAGAAGCAAACGCGCGTGTGGAAACCAGCTTCAGGTGCAGCGTAATCAATTGCGAGCCCTGGGCTTGTGAGAGATCAGGAGTTAGACTAGAGAGACCTCTGCTGGCCCGTAAGGGGAATTGCTAGCACGAGACAACAGCTGTGAAAGCAGTGTTACACTAAAGCATTAATTATTATTGCTTATCCCTTAATCTGAGAAATTGTTTGTTACAAATCTGGCAGCACCTCCCACTCCTCAACAGCAGACTCATGAACATTTGATGTGCCTATATTCTTACATTAGGAAAAAACTATTCAGATTTCCTCCGTTTGGTGTATTTTCATAATTAATCAGACTAACATGATTCCAGCTTACAGTGTGACATGGAAGTCATGTTCATGCGCTGACAAACTACTCTGTAAAACAAAGACAAAACACTGCTCAACTGTGCTTTAGTTAGTTAAAATCCTCGAGAGAATGAACGCTTGTTTTAACAGCTGGACTTTAAGCGATAACTCACACAAAATAGAAATTTACCCAGTCCCAAGTTAACTGGTTCTTGTTTTCTGCTGAACACAAAAGATTTCTGGATAACCTGTAACCATTGACTTCCATAGAGAGAAAAACAAACCCCATGGAAGTCAATAGTTACAGATTTCTAGCGCTGTTTAAAACATCTTTGGGTTCAACAGAAGGATGAAACTCAAACATGTTTGGAACAAGTGAAGGATGAGTAAAAGAGGACAGAATTAACATTGTGTGAACTATCCTTTTAAACACATTAACATGTAAACACAGTACACATGGTGTTCTACTATGTATGTCTGTATGAATGATGAAAGATGATGAACACTCTGGATGGGGTAAGATGTGGACTTTTCCATCGATGCAGATAATTTCTATGGAAACTTGATAGTAAGGGTCCTCGTGAGAGACATCCTATTGAACAAAGAAAACAGAATGCAAATATGATGATACTAGTTAAAGAACTCATTGCTCAAAGCAGAAAATGGCAGAATAAAATAGAAGATGAAAATAGGCAATAGGTAGACTCATGTACATAAACAACCCACCTCTGTCTGATGTAAGAGCTCAGCCAAAAGCTGACCAGTAATTTTAAGAGCATTGTGGAAGCTCTGTCAGATTTTAAGCAGCACTTGATTGAAATTGAAATAAACCTGAAATATAAAACAAAATTAAACAGTTATGTTCCTTGTGTATTTCAGTCCTGTGTGCTTTGAAAGTTACAATGTTTAAGAGCACATGACTTTGATTTACTTTTAAATGTACAGTGTGCAAGAGAATTAAATAATAAACCTCAGAACAATCCTCAGGAAAGCCACATGACGGACCGCTGAACTCAACTGCATCTGCACCCGCCAGTAGAGCAGGATCAGTGTGAATATAAAAGAGCTCTTTTAAGGCAATAAAATATTTTGTAAAAATAAAAAACAATTGCTGTTGCAAACAAGGAAACAGAACAATTCTGGCTCATAGTTTCCATTTGTTAGTCTTTTTCACAGTTAAAAGTACAATACTTAAATTTCTAATGCACGCCTACTGTCATCT